GCTTTTGCTTTCTTACACCCAGAATAAAATTAGTTAACCAGACACACTCAGTTGAGCCACAAATTGCTTCTATAACTCTAAATATTCCATATACTTCTATCCCCACTGCATATCAATTTATTGAAACAAGCAATGAGCTGGACTGTCCAGCTGCTCCAACTGATGGCTGTGGGCGCAACCTACAAGGCAGCCCAGCAGAAGTGAGGGAAAGGAATGCCTGCTGGCCCACAGGAATCTGACAGAACAGATCCTGGCACTCCTTTTGTTCTGACAGGCCAGGCAGGGGATGCGAAGCCAGAAGGCAGGAGACTGCCTACTGTACGAGGGGACTGGCCTTCTGACTAGGCCAACCTGACTTTGCTCATGTCATGACTCACCTTTCCAGGAGGCAAATGTAAAGAATGTCTCAATTGTCATTCTGCTGCAGTAGAGAAGTTTTATCTCGGCACAAGTGATACTTTGCCCCCAGTTGCATAACTGACTGTAAACCGTTTTTCCCTGCAAGAACCTACTTGCCTCTCCTAAGAGGTGCTTACAACTAGAACCTTTACCTCAAGCCTCTTCATCTCTTCTCATCTCTTCCTCCACAGTCAGGTTCCAAGACAGGAATCCTTAAATGCACCCTCCCAAACTAGTGGGAAAAAGATAATTACTGCCTCCTACTTAACTTGGTTTGGTAAGCTGATGAATTCTCGGCAGCCCTAACTATTAAGAGTGCCTGAAAGTTTTTTGAGCTGGCACGTGTTACCTAAAACTCTAGCCAGCATAAGACGGTACGTGTCAGGAATGAGAAACTCTTCTTCCATCCCAGTTTCCACCATCAAGACACGGAATTGTGACTTTGTGTTGCAACTGCACTTGCAATTTCTTGTCTTACATGTATAATTTATTTTCAACGGTCATTGCTCAGTCAAAGCCAGTTACAGAATGCTCATGACATGAATCAGCAGCTTTTCAAAATGTCATGTATATTTCATATCTCCCTTCAGTGGAAGAAACATTGAATCATGGAACCAGAGAAGCCATGTAGTATGTAGCCAAATGGCAGAGGTATGAAGTTTGGAGAGAAAAAAAATCAAAGGAAAAAAAAGTTTCATAAGGAACCCCACTCCACCCCACCCTCCTTTCACAGCACCAAGAAAAAAACAGAATCCTCCTCCCAAAGATTTCTTTTCTTATTTTTCCTGGTCCTCATATCTCAAGATAGGTCTGCAATAAAGAAGTCTGCTGTCAGTAACAAAAAAGATCAAACATTCTAAGCCCATCCCCATTTGAAAGGGTTGCTGACAGGGGAGATCTTAAAAGAACACATAAGCAGTGCTCTTTGTTACCCACATGATCCCATCCCTTGCCCTTTTTCCTGATTTTGGCTGAGCATGAGCATGAATGTTTTCTTAAGAAAAAAGAGCTTAGTCAGCAGCAATCCCCACACCCAACCTCCAAGCCTCTTCCCAGAAGCTCTGCAGGAAGGAGGCTGGGAAGATACCAGCATTCCCATAATGATTAATAGCCACAAACTCAGACAAATAAAAGCCTAGATCCCTGGAGTACAACAGCTTGTTAGGACGTGACCTTTGGGACTTGCTCAAGGTAACAGAGAGGACTGTCCAGTTTTACTCTAATCCAATTTATACAGTAAATGACAAAGAGATTCCTCGGTGCAATAAAAAGTGGATTGTTGCAAGTAAGAATGGATTCCATATTATGGCAAAGTATAGCTGGATGAAAATATCAGGAACTGTAGCTTGCCAGGGCATGTAGAATATCCAAATTTGAGAAATTCAAATTTGTCAGCCCTTTAAATAAAGACTATGAAATTTACTGTAGTTATTCTCTTCCAACTGTTTGCACATTCTGAGATCCCATGATTTCCACATAAATTGTGGCTATATCACAACTGGGACACTTCATTCCCATCTATGTGTTGGGCATCCATTTCCGCTCCATGGCATATCATAGTGTCACCCTGTTTAACCTCAAATTCCACTCCAAATACCACATCCTTCACAGAGAAAATTTTAAATCAAGACAAGCTAGTAAAAATCCAGGACTTTTTCCCAAAATGGATCTGATTTCAGAATGTCTTCCCACCCTAATTTCTCAGAACACAGGAAAGACTGGACTGCTTCATGAATGGGAGGATTCTTCCCCTACTCTATATATTCAGGCATCCTTCTTTCCTAAACGGAAAAGAAAAAGTGGTCATTGGAAAATTGGTGAATTCAGTACTGTACCCAGATCATTATTTGTCAGATGCCCAAACTGGCCTTTAGAGCCCATTCAGCCACTTTCTTACATAGTAATACAAGTGCTACAATTTCCTGCTTTCCCAACTGACCACATCACAGTAACAAGAAATGAAGAAATAGTAGCAGAACAAACTACACAGTCAGTTATGAAGTTAACAATTCCCATGCATCGTCTTCCCAAATCTAGTACTGTATAGCTTCCTATCTTCTACTCTCTTTCCTATAGGGAGAAATAATTTTGATTTTGATGTGGCCATCTTTTTAATTTTTTTTTTCTCTGTCTTGTTGTATTGCTGGTGTGTTTTTATCTTTTGTACTGGGTTTGTTTTAAACTGTGTTTTTTATATAAGCTGCCGAGAATTGCAGTGGTGTAGAAATACATTTAATTAATAAATTAATTAATATGGCTGTTCTAGTTGGTTCCTATATGTCATATTCCTGGTTTGGATATAAAATAGACTGATACATTTTACATGACTATAACTAAGACTAATCTGTACAATTATTAACATAATCTGATTATCAACAATATGCCACAGTGGTTTTACTACCACTGATCATCTGTCCCTGTGGATTAAACTTCTAACTTGAAATCCTTTGTTAATCTCAACCATAAGAGAGGCATCTTGGAAATGTATCATATCGTGATTGTGGCCTTTTTCTAGCCTTTTAAAAATACAATTTATAATCAAATCATCCAATTGGGTTTCCAGACTAAGGACCTGGCATGGAAATTATCCAAGGAACATTCTCCAGAGCAGATAGATGCTAAAACAAGATTAAATCCAACTCAACCTTCGCTAAAATATTCAGCCACCTCGATGAATAAGCAACTTAAAAGTCCTTTGCCTAGAATGTCTCACCTTTGGCATGGAATGTCCATCCACTCCTAGTATATTCTTGCAACTGAACTCTCTCTTCCTGACCCAGGCAGCACACCTTGCTGAAGAACTGCTGTTCAATGTAAACATAGGCAGCAGGGATGGCACCTGCCACCCCTTTGGCTCCAAAGAACCCATTCACCTCTGGTGAGGCTAGAAGAATCTGGAATTTTGCTTGAGTGCCTAGAATCAGATCTATATATGTTTTTGTAAGGTTGAAATAGCCTGTGGTGAGATATATGCTGGCATCCTGCTCTGCTTCCATAAGGAGGGTCTCCGTGACAGTCTCATCTATCTGAATCCCAAATGGCTTCATCTGTATTAGAGGATAAATCCATGTGTCTGGTTCTGATTGCCTGTCACCAGCTGCCTTTGGATCACTGGATGAGATTTCTTCTGCTGTATTGTTGCTATGGAAAGTCAGAGTGTGCATTTGTTCTTGTCTGATCCTGGCAGAATTGATCACTTCCATCACTCTCTTATTTGCCATTTCACAATAGGCCTTCTTGTCTCCTGAGAAGATAAATATGTGATTTAATGAAATATAACATTACTTGTATGAAACTTACCAAGGGATCGGAAGAGTAGCAGGATGCTTCCTGCAAGTCAGGAATTATGGAATCCAAATTACCCTAAATCAGTGGTTCCTAAATTGGAGGTAATTACCCCCAAGGGGGTACTTGGGCATATCCTGGGGGTAATGGAGCAATTTCTAATTGCTTGTTTGTAAGTCTGGATCCAGCTTGGGACTGCTGCTGCCGAGACCCCTGTGTAAAACAACAGAGTCTTTTTGGGGTGGGGAGAGGGAGTGTGTGTGTGGGGGAGTGGGGGAAGTAATGACATTATTCAACACCAGGAAAAGGGATAATTGGACCAAACAGTTTAAGAAGCACTGCCGCCAGGCCTTGAAAAGGTACATGTTTCCCAAAATAGGTTTTATCTAAATAGTAACAGTAATTTTAAATATATACCATTTCAAGGATGGGCTACAAGGAAAGCCTGAATGTATTTCTTTCTCCCAAATATAAGGACTTACCATTTGATTTTTCTACATTTACTGCTCAGATACAATCCTATGTAGGCAAACTGCACTGAAACACAAACATCTTTTTTATAGAACTATAAGCAATCCCATCTCACTGAAAAAAGGATGAATCTTTCCAACCCATATTAGGGCTCAATTGACCAAGGTTATTTCTATTTTTTTTAAAAAGTCTCATTAAGTCTTTTAATCCAGCTTGATCAGTGAAACTGGAAATCAACCCCTACTAGCACTTTCTCTCTCTCTCTCCCTCCCTCCTTCCCTCTTTTTAAATACCTCTAAACTGGAGACAAGTTTCTATATTCCTGCTAGTGAAAGCTTATTGCTATAACTGATGGTATTGGGAGACCTTCTTTTTCAAATAATCATCTGTAAAACATAGCAAAGGACTTCAGTCACCCACCTAAAGAATTGTGGATTTTTGTCAATTAACTTTTGCCAGGTCCCAGTTCACATAGGAATTAGATTAGAGATAAAAAGCAGAGGCATCAGTAATGGGGGCATATGAAGCATATTGGAAGAAAGTGTCTTCTTCCTGCCCTGACATGACTGATTTTCCAGGTTTTGACTATCAGGACTGGACGAAACAAGTTAGCCTTATCCAAGTCTTGTCAGATCTCTTGCAGAAACTCTGACTTGCTTAGGGACAGTAACAGAGTGAGCTGAAAGGCTGCTCTGCAACTCTTGTGGACTCTGCAATTTGTGATTTAGTATGATTAATTGAGTTTACAGGTTCTTTCAGTTGGTAACAATAACAGGGCCCCCTATATGATATCCTTTCAGTGCCCGACTAAAGTTTTTTTCCCCAAAGGTTTAACATAAACAACTTGCCAAATTCCTAGCATCACACAAATGAAAATGTAAGCTATACAAATACCCCAAACTGGAAAAAATACCAAAGAAGTGACATTCATGCCATATACCTCTTCCATTTAAGGAACATAATTTACTATGTGCAAAAAAAAAAAAAAAAACAGGGCTCCTGTGGTTAAAAAAAAGTATCATAAAATGAAATGGAAGTAAGACAAGAATTCACACCAGTGAAGAATTTGTCAGCTAAGATGCACGTCAGGTACATTCTTCTGGTACCTATTTAGCCAATTCAGTATATGCTCATCAAGATAACAAACACTGGAGGGCAGTCCCCCTTTACCTACTCCCATAGTATTTGTTTTTGTCATCTGATCTAGAAATCACAGCAACTGGGTTGCCGGGAAGGGCTCTCAACAGTCAGTACTGCTTGGAAAATACCTCCCAAGGGAAAGCGACACCCAGTGTCTTATGCTCTGTATAAAAGATTAGCTTTCCAGGTTGTAATGGAGGAAGAGTATTCCCCAGACAAAAAAAAAAAATCTTTCCACTGAGTACAAATAGCATCCAACATATGAGCATGCATGTACACATTTTGAAGCGCATATTATATAACAGGGCTTGGAGTTGTTTGCTTCTTCAACATTCAGGAAACATCACAAGGTTACCAAAATTATTTACCAGCGTAGAAATCACTAGAATGATTAGCTTTAACTTCACAATCTACCAAACCAATACATAATACATCCAGCTACAAAAGATGAATGCAAAATTTTATTGGGAACTCAATATTGTTTTAAAAGTTTTTTTTTTGTTTTAATTATATTGTGGTTTTTATTCTTGTTTGCCACCCAGAGTTCCTTCTGTTTAGTCATCATCATCGTCATCAAATTATTATTATTATTATTATTATTACTACTACTACTACTACTACTA